GATATATGATCATTCGAAACAGAAGTTGGTCTAAGCGTTGTTGGGGCAGGGTCGTGTTAACCTGGTTGTGCCAGAATCATGGGGGAAGCTGCGAGGGAGGAGTCTTGGGGGATGGTCTGGAGCGGCAGGTAGTGGGCACTTCGTGGAGCTATTTACCAATCAGTTCAGATATTTTCAATATGTTAACAGCTAATGAAACTTGGCTGGTCCCTATTAGCTGAATATCATCACCCAGTCTCGGGATAGCAGGGTGTGTCTGAGGGCCCAGAAATTTGAAAGAGGTGGGGACATTGCAGTGGGCTCAGAGGAATTTTGAGGGTCTGTGGCCCTCACTTCCCCGCCCCCTGCAGCCTTACCCTCCACATCTGGGTGCTTCATGAGCAACAGGAAACCATAACGCAGGGTCGTGCTGACCGTCTCGGTGCCCGCAAAGAAAAGGTTCAGCGTGGTCATTACCAGGTTCTTCATGTGGAACTCGGAGTTGGGGTGCTTTTGCTCCTGCAGAGAGAGAGCTTCAGGCCAAGCCCACTCCCCCAGGCTCTCAGGGCCCTTCTGGGGTTTTTCCTCTGGACCCACTTCTTATAGATCCGGACCAAAGGTGGGAAGAGGGACCCTAGTTCTGCCAGGCCTTTTCCAGGCTGGTGGCTCTACCCAAATATTCTTCTCACTCTCCTTATCCAGCTGACTATCTGTTCTTTAATTACCCACTTAGTTGTTGCTTTCTAATTATAGAAATATTTAGAAATGAAGGAATAGAGACAGTGAGCGAGAGAGACCATGATGGAATGCATCAAAGAGCATGGAAGAGAGACATTTTCTGAGGCACAGACCAGATTTTAAGCAACAGCATCCTATTCCTTCACTGAAAATCTTGAAGCTTCCTATGGAGCATCCACTCCCTGATCCTTTCACCTTGAACTTCAGACTCTATAAAGCCCTTCCAGTTAGGAGTGGGGACCCTCCAATGTCACATAGTAAAGCAAGGTCACCTGTCCACACAGGTGTGTCTGATAACCAAGGAATGAAAGGTAAGAGCATGGTGGCTAAAAGCACCAGCCTTGGAGTCTGAGAGACCAGAGTGGGAGCTAGGTGTGTGACCTCAGGTACGGCACTTATACTCTCTGGGCCTCATGTCCTCATTTGTAACATCGGAGTCATAGTAGAACCTTCTCCAAGAGCTGGTGTGAGTGTTAAATAGGTGAATACCGTAAAGTTCTTAAAATAGTGCCTGGTGCACGGCAGTGCTATAGATGTGGTTATTATCATGATTTGCACACACACGTCCTGCCCATGGGTAAAGGCTCAGTGGAGAGAACAGTGAATTATAATTGGGATTCTGAGGGTTATGATGGGGGTCATCTGAATGAGCCGCTGTTCTCCCCCGCCTGGTTTTCCTCTGCTAGTCTTTGGTCTTCTTTGCCCTGGCTGCTGGCATGTACCTCCTGCATGCGGATGAGGAAGGAGTCAATAAAGTCCCGCGGGGAGTTGGGATCCAGTGTATGTTGGTTCTGCTCCACCTTCTTGGCTATGAAGTCCTCCAGTCCCTGGAGCTCCTTAAATGCCTGCTGCTGTGGCCCTGGCAGGTGTTTCATCACTGAGGAGAACATCTCATAGAGCTGAGGGGGGGAGAAGGAAAGGGAAGGACAGCTGTCGGTGGACGTCACCTGAAGGGAGTGGGCCTATCTCGGGGCAAAGGAGTCACCGGTAAAAGCAACTGTGCAGGTGTTTAGGCTTTTAGATGGGGCTGGATGGAAACAGATATCTAAGCTTCCATGGGAAGTCAGTGTGAGGGCTCCTGTCCATGGATTTAGAGGAGATGGACTGAGACACATCCAGATTTCCTTCCTTCCCTTTCTTTTTTTGTAAGGGGACTATCAGCTGAGATATCCAGGTATTGGAGACTGGGTATTGGGCCCCTGCCCTGAGTTCCTGTGCAACTGTTCAGTTGTCCAAAGGAGAAGGCTGGTTTTGAGGGGACCCTGGTCTGGAGGAGGATAGGAGCTTGGGGTAACTATGTCCCTGAAAGGGAGATGGTGGCTGGTTGTGCTAGGGCCACAGTAGAGCCAGGTTGGGATCAGTCACCTGCCCTGTAGGTGTAGCTGTGAACTGGAAGCTTCCCTGCATCATGCGCAGCAGTGAAAGGAACTCTTTGTCCTCGTAGTCAAAGCGGTCCCCAAAGACAATGGAGCTGATGACATTGGAGACAGTTCGGCTCAGGAAGAAGGTGGGATCAATGAAGGCACCTGGGGAGGGGGGGCGGGGGAGGCGGATGGACGGGGGAGAGTCAACTTGGCGGTCAGATGCCAGTCTGAGAATTCCAGGAACGCCTTCCCCCAACCTAGTTCCCCTCCCAGGCCAGGACGCGCGTTTTCCTCCTCTGCTCTCTGGGTTGCCAGGCTCACCTCGCGTGCCACGAAAGGCCTCGAGGAGGAAGCCCGCTTCCTCCTGGATGCGCTCCTCGATGCCGCGCTTGCCCACGCCGAAGTCCCGCAGCGTGCTGATGGAGAAGCGCCGGAGTTGCTTGGCGCGCTCCCCGTTGCTGAACACCACGCCTGGGGAGGGAATGTAGGAGTGGGGAGTGGCCAGAGAGGGGCGGGGTCAGAGGGAGGTGGGGAGAGAGAGAGAGAGAGAGAGAGAGAGAGAGAGAGAGAGAGAAAGAGAGAGAGAGGACTCAGAGTCAGAGAAATACAGAAAGAGAAACGGACCAAGTTGGAAGAAAATCAGAAGGAAAGGAGCAACACGGATGTACAGAGAAACAGAGATACAGAGACACTCACATGATGAGAAAGAGGCAGGAGGGAAGGAGGGGAAGTGAGATATGTGGAGATCTGGGAAGTGGGAGTAAAAATTGAGAAGGATTCTAAGACTGACCTGGAGAAGAGAGAAAAACATATACAGAGAGCAGAGAGGCCTGGAAGAGAGAGAGGCTTTTACAGAGGTTGAGGCATGGGGATTGTGAAGCAGAAAAAATGTGAGATTCTAAGACAAAGGAAAAGAGAGGCAAGGAGAGGGAGAGAGAAACATGGGGAGGCACAGACGCTGAGAAGGAGAAAAAGACAAATGACACATGGAGACAGAGGACCAGGGTTCCAAAGCAAAAATCCCAAGAGCATCTAAGAGATACAGAGAAAGAAGAGCCATCTAGTGAGAGAGAACCGGGAGATGGGGCAGAGAGAAGCAGGGAGACGCAGAAACACTAAGACAAGTTAGAGGGGACACAGGGATAAACAGAACGGGGCAGAGGAGACCGAGGAAGGGCTCTGCCTCAGCCTTGAGTGGGTGGTGAGTTGGGAGAAGAATGCTGGGACACTGAGGCCTTCAAGTCTGCTTGACCACATTCCCCCTCCCAGAGTTCCCCTCACCATAGCCTTTGAAGAGCCAGTCAAAGGTGGCCTGCTCGCCTCGCCCACTGAATTCCTCAGCCTGGTCCACCAGAGCCTCCTTTACAGCCTCATGTCCACACAGCACCACGATCCTCCGAGTGCCCAGGTGGATGGTGAACACGGGACCGTAGCACTCGCTGATCTGATGGAGAGGCGTGGGAGTGGGTGAGAGGGAGCAGCCCCAACTCTGAACTGACTCTGCACCCAGACCTCACAGACTGGGATACACTTTGCCCGAGTTCTGACAGTCAAGGAACTGGACATCCCAAGATCTGGTCTTTCCTGGCTAGAACCCCAGTGCTAAACCTTCAAAACTCCCCCCTCTTGCCCTGGCTAGTGTGGCTCGGTTGCTTGAGCGTTGCCCCATGCACCGAGAGGTCACCAGCTTGATTCCCTGATTCCTGGTCAGGGCACACGCCCAGGTTTTAGACTCCAATGATGTTTCTCTCTCTTTCTCCCTCTCCCTCTCTCTCTGGAATCAATAAAAACATATATTTTAAAAACTACCTACTCCTTCCTAAGATTTCAGTCCAACCTTGCCAATCCCCTGCCACAAAGTCTCAGCCAGACTGGGCAGGCCCCCAACACCCTAACACCAATTTCCCTGCCTCGTGATACCTTCATGAGGGAGTTGTACATCTGCTCTGTGTTCAGCTGCAAGTAGTTCCCGATGAAGGGCAGCGCTCGGGGACCAGGAGGCAGCTTTCCCCAGAACTTCCTTTGCCGCCAGACAGACATCAAGACCATTATTGTCAGGCAGGACAGCAAAGCCACCAGAAGCAGTCCTGAGGCCAGCATGGTGGCACTGAGAGTGAGAGTCACAAGGTGATGGCTGGGACGGCTTGTCTTTATACTACCTGGGAGAGAGGGGCGGCCTTTGGTCCTGCTTATGTAACTGTCTCATTTCACCTCCCAGTTACACACACCCCCCACCATGCTCCCGCCTAGCTTGGGATACAGCCAGCAATGGAGGAGGGAGGGACTCCAGGGCAGATGAACAAGTCTGAATTTGTGGCTTCTCCTGAGGGACTAGTACAGGACTGTGGACTTGGTGGGAGTGGGGGAGATAGTAGACAAATTTCAGAGCTGAAGATTCTGGAATATTGACATGTGTAAGCCCCTGAGCTTGGGATTTGGGGTCTCAGAGTGAGAAAGAACATCAAAGTTGTGGAGTTTGGGGTCTTGGAAGAGAAGAATAAAAGATTTAAGGGTATTGGAATAAGACAGACTACATGCCTGTGGATTTGGGGATCTTTTGCTGAGGAGGGATGTAGGTTTAAAGGTCTCGGGACTGGAGATTCCAGAGAATGGATTTGAAGGTCTTGAGGTGAGAAGCACCCCAGCAGTGGATGTGGGCTTCCTAGGGGAAGAAATATGTGAGGAGTCCAGCTGGATCATGGAGTCAGCTCCTGACCCAGATGCTGACCTGCTTTTGTTTTGGACATAATACCACCTCTTGATGCCCAGAATCCTCATTGGCACCTCAAAGCGGAGTCAAGATGGCATGCCACAGGACTGCCCATTCCTGGTTGGGAAAGGGAGAGACAACCAGAGCCACATCTCAGTGGAACTTTCCACAGAACTGGAGAAGATTGACTCATGGTCTCATTGGCAGAGGGATGGGCCAGGACTTGGGAAATAGTAATGACAACTGCAATACGGTACGAAAAAATCGCAACTGTCTGCAGAGTTATAATTTACAGAGAGCCACAGTGACTCCCTGCCCAGATCATCAGGGAAACCCACCAAGTAGATTGTATCATTTCTATGTTATTGTCATTATTATTATTATTATTATTAATGCTTCCCATTTTATATAGGGGTAAGATGAGGGCAGAGAACAGAGATTGGGCAGGGGGCACATATGTCTCTCCTGCTCTCTACTTTTATTCCCCCTTTCTGGGATTGAGTTTGCCACCAGTGCAAAGGTTATATTTGAGGGTGTGTGTATTTTTGAGGTGATTCCTGGCTCAGCAAGGCTGCCATTAGCAGGCAGAGGGAACCAAAACAGGAGAAATTTGAGTAAGCTTCAGTGTTGGGAACAGAAATGGGCCCTGAGATACTGATTGGGTGGGGGTAAGTACAGAAAGGATGAGTGACTCTGCTGTCCTCTCCTCACTGGCGTTCTTTCTTAATAATGAGGACAGTTTCCCCTTGGTGAGCACTAATTGTGGAGGTTGACTCTGTATGCAGGATCTTATGGAATCTTTATAAGAATGGGCTGGGTCGTTATCATTCTTACTTTGCAGTTAAAACCAAGACTCCATAAAGCCACTTGCTGGAGGTCACAAGTAAAAAGTGATGAAGCTGGGCTTTGAATCCTCTCTCCTGCTTTCTCCATTGACTGGCCTAGCCCACCCTGGGGGCCAAGTGGAGACCAAGTTTAGCAGCAGGTGGGTTCTGAGATTGGCATTGGCATTGGCAGGTTCTGCTATTGGCATCAGGTAGCCCTGGGACAGAGGGCCATCACATTGGGATTGAGCTTGTTTCCAGGTAGACACTAGGATTGAAAATGAGTTGACACTGAACTTGAGACCAGGAGAGCAGTAGTAGAGCACCACTGGTGTTGAGAGGGCTCTGAGAGTAGACCCAAGTGGCCATTGAGGCTGGCTTCCAGAAGGCATAGGGTGGCACCATGTGGGCTCTGAGGTTGATCCCAGCAGGCTCCAGCATGAGCACCAGATGAGCACTGAGATTGGTCCTATGTGGCCTG